CACTTAGCTGATGCTGGATGTGAGGATGCAAGAATATTGAACATTACCTCAATGTTAGCACAACTGATTTACAAGTTATTATGCCCCTAAAAAGGTAACATGTCGTCCAAATTCGCGTTTTCAGACATACATGCGTTTAAGTCTGTTTGCAACTGGGGCATGCTGGCTGTGTACACTTAGAGGAAGCACATTCAGTGCTACATGAAAAGACTAGCCAGTTATGCTAACAACTATGGAAGAGCCTAAGAAGCTATCATTACTTTTATAAGATGAAAAACATGACTAATTCATTCGTGGTCACCTGCCGGGCATTACCGAAGATATTCAGATTTATGTTTGACGCTATCTGGTCGTTTCTCGGCTAATTCAGGCCCATTCTGTACACTGAACCTCAACGATATGAGCAGCAAATAAACGCTGGACGGATGAAACAACCGCAACATCAACTATATTAAAATTGAGTTTCATATCAAAAATACTTCCCCCAAACCGTTACAATGTTTCTCCGACATCGAAACACCAACACTCGGTGTTACATAAACAGTAGTTTGCACAGATGTTAAGAGATTTCTCTCTGCCAGCATTGCAGCTTACCATTTTCGTCCGGTGGCTAAGGGAAAAGAGACCGGAAGGGGAGCGTGCGCTGCATCAAATTACATCCGTGGTGCTTCCTGTGTAACACAGAAATGCATCCCCATATAGAATTTTCTCATGAATTGATTCGAAATGGCGATGGACATATTCAGCGAAAGCAGAACATAATTTCATTTACATGTCTGTACCTATAGGCCTATTTGCTTATGTTATTTTATTTAAAGTGTCTTTTCAACTTCATATATTTTAATTCAGAAGACGCAGACGTCCTCTGTTCAATGGTACAATTCCTCCTTCACTGAAAGTTGCCATAGCTTAATCATTATTCCATAACACTATTCCCCTCCAAAATTCCTCAGAGGGTGGTTCTACATAGTTCTCAATTACAGATCCACCTTGAGAACAATAATGTCTTATGTCAGTAATGTCTGAACAATACCAATCTGGCTTCGCCCCAAACATAGCACAGAAGCAGCCATGGTTAAGTTCATCAACGACCTACTCTGTGCAGTATATTCTGGTCTGATCTCTATTAGTCAATCCTTCAGTATGTCTTGATTCAAATTGATTTTGATTCTTGGGGTCGCAATTCTATTCAATATCAATTCTTGCTTCTAAACAATTTTTGATTTCAAACCTTGCACATTGAATGATCATGGCATCTCCTTCTTCCCCGGGAGATTGTAGAATCCAAAGTGCACTCAAACGCTTCCCACAGGGAAGACGGGACTGGCTGAATTTCTTGCTGCTTCATGTAAGATAAATCTTTGTATTCTTTTTGACCAACATTTGAACCTTGAGCCCCATATAGCTCATACAATCTTCTTTCTTCATTTGAAAAGTATTGTTTAAATAACATTTGGCCTATGTACCAAAAACGTGGAACCTCTAGAACATACCCTGAAGTGTGTTTAGACTGTAACTGTGGCTGGCGATGGGGCAGTGGATAAGACACATGCCTCTGGTGAGCAGGACACTTTACCACTAGTTGCTCCAGAGGTGTGCGACCTCTGACATATATAGTAATTGTAAGTCACTTTGGATAAAAGCGTCAGCTAAATTACTAAATGTAATTAACATTAAATACTAATGTAATGTAACTCCCTCTTTACTTGCATTACTCTGTCCTCTCTAGCCTCTTCAGTTAGAGCAAAATGCAGAAGCAAGACTGTTAACAAATAGTCATCTGACCCACATCACCAGTTCTTGCCTCTCTTCACCAGCTTCCACTAAAGTACAGAATCAACTTCTAAATCTGAAGATCACCTACAAGCCTTGCATGGCCTGTTCCCACATATATGAGCATGTGGGCTGAGCCCGTATTTAAGTTCTCTGGATCCTATTTTAAATCCAGAGGTGACCGCGCTAAACTCTGGAATAACTTTCCCCTTTCCATCAGATCTGCTCAATCTATGGTTTGTTTTAAGCGGCTATACTGAAAACTCATTTCTACTCATGAGCCATTTTAGAAACACTCTCTATTTGCCTTTAGTTTAGTTTTTATTTTTATTTTGGCCATTCGCTTTAATATTTGCCTATGAATCATGTATGTATGTGTATACTTGTATTTCTACATGTGAAGCACTTTATAACTGTATGTTTTATAAAAATTGCTATATAAATAAAAGGTACACACTAAAAACTCCTGGGTTATTTCTTCAACCCATTTTCTGTGTTAGTTGTGTTGGATTAAAATTATGGGTTATTTTTTCAGAGAGTATCCATTTTCTGGGTTATAGGTCCCAATTCCTGGGTTGTTTGGGTTTCTGAGTTATTTTTCAAAGACTAACCCATGTTCTGGGTTATAGGGTTGGCTTTCTCTCTCTCAAATTTAACAACCACCCCGCAGTTGTTCTGGAATTTTGGAAAATCGTTTGAAATAACCGTCACTTCGCGCTCGGTCTGTTATGGCCTGTGCTTCTTTGGTGCAACTTCGTCGTGTATTCAAGGTAAGTGAGTATTTTCAGTGTTGATGCAACGTAAACTTTTCTGTGTCCATGTCCCCGTTGCTAGTTTAGCACCATTTTCTGAAAAAATTACCATGGCTTAGTTGCTACGTTGAGACTAGCGTTAGCCGTGGTAATTCTGTGGTGGCCATGTACATTTAACTAGTTTAATGTCCGTGTAAAGTCACACATGACATGACACAATCAGTGTTAAAAGACTTTAAGCCTTAAGTTCAATCCAGTTATTGAACGTTGTCAAATATTTGAGAGAGAATGTTCAAGAGTTGTTTATTTTTCTATTTTTTATATAGAATTTAATTTAATGCAAAAAAAGTGCTTGAAGTGTGTAATATTGTCACAGTCACCCCTAGTCACATGTCTTCCTTTGTTCTGTTTTCCAGCCACTCATCTGTTTCCATGGTTTCTGTCATTTAGTTCATCTGCATCACCTGTGTTTAGTCAGTGTTCATCTGTGTTAGTATTTAGTTCCTTCAGTTCAGTCATTCTTTGGCTGTTCTACTATGTAGTCTTGTTTAGTGTGTGTACCATTTGGAGTTACTTTATTAGTAAAACATTTGAATTTGAACTTTGGACTCCTCCTCTTCTTCTTCTGCCTGCACCACACCCTGACAGATGTAATGTAAAGCAGTTTTATTTTCTGAAATAAGGCATACTGGCATAGTAACCTAAGTTAGGTTATTTTTGACCCAACTCCTGTGTTAAAAAGGGACCAACTAATTTCTGGGTTATTTCAACCCAGAAGTTGGGTTATATTAAGTACAATGTTGTTGTTTTTTAACCCAACATTTGGGTCAGGTATTTAACCCAGAAGTTGGGTCAAAAAGAATAACCCAATTTCTGGGTAACCCAAAAATTAGTTGGTCCCCTATTAACTCAGGAGTTACCCAGTTTACCCAGTAAGGCTAATACTGCCATGGATATGTTCCAAGCCCATAATGACAAGGTCCAGATAGTGACACGAAATTAGCTTCCTTTGCAGGTTGTCTGGGTCACTCTGTTGAGAGGAGTGGGTGAAGTCTCAGTCACCCTTATTTGTGGAGATATTATGTGCACGTCCAACTGGCAGGAGCCCAAGGGCAGACCCAGAACATGCTGATGAACTACAAATCCAATCTGGCCTGGGAGTGCCTCAGGTGCTGAAAGCCACGACTTGAGAGAAGGATGTCTGCTGGCTTCTTTGCTCAGCATGCTGCCTCTTTGAGCGGGATCCAGATAGGCTAAGAGGCAAAAAATAAAACAACAGATGGCTAAAAGTAAAGAAATAGATGAGCTAGAATTGAAATTTCGGTGTTTCTGAGATCTAGATGCTAAAATGATGTGTGTCCTTTGTACAATATAAAAATAAAGTAGTTTAACAGATATGCAAACATGCTCACGAACTGAGTGAGGTGCAGAAACCCGATCGCATCTCGTGCATCACATATACACGCTTTGTAAAAGCGAAACTGCGATTTTGCATGCATATATTTACTGACTTAGGTTTAGGCACTAACTAATGCCATGGTTGAGGTTAAGGAAGTTGCCTTGAGGGGGCTGTCAACTCCTTAAACAAAAACATCGCTAGCTAGCTAGCTAGCTAATTAGTGACCACCCCGGGGCGTCACATACACACGCGGCCTGGATGCGTCTCATACACACATGACGTATACTATACACGCAAAATCGCTACTTTGCGTACAATAGACACGGCTTTTACAAAGCGTGTACATGTGACGCCTGAGCATGAGAACAGGCTGGGTGCAGAGTAACAATTCCCTCTTTTCGAATTAAGACTCTATACTATTATTGGTAGGCTATTTCTTCTTTCACACCCGCCTACGACTCCGCTGTTTGTAAAGGTGTTAATGCATACTGCTGAAGTGACCCAGACTGATCAAACAGCTGTCAAATTGGACACTGGCAGAAATCAATGGCACTAATACAGTTATCAGCACCAGCATTAGACAGATCTGCTGATTTTGTCAGGAGTTTGGCTCTGAGAAGATGCTGCTGTTGTGGGATCAGGGTTTAGTTTGCCACATGCTGTCTGACATTGTCGTTGGGCCCTAGAACAGTGGTGGGAGACATTGTTAGCCATTATACAGAAAATAGGTATTGTTAATACTGTGCAGAAAACAGCTTGACCATCCCTTTGTCATGAACTGCAATGAATAAAAAGCACAAAGAATAGGCTATTGAGACATAAAACCAGCTCAACTTGCAAAGTGCACTGTGTTGCAACAGCATCTAATCTGAAGAAATTACTGTGAAAGCTAATTTTAGGCCTATATTATGTAATCTACAGTTTAGTGGCTCTGGTAAATTGCAGCCTATGGAGGTCAGGTGACATATTTTCAGCCAGCAGGTGCATCCTTGTAAAGGCTACCATGACCTTGGATTTTTGGCTGAGTAAGGAGCATCTGAATAAAACGCGGCGCGCCCCCGGCTGCCAGGCTGAAAAAAGTCGCACCCTCCTCCTTTTACATTTCAGTCACGCAGCCATGCTCAGATTTGAGATGAATCATGAAGGATGTGTTATTTTTTTCTGTCGCAGCTCATATCAGCAATTTTGAAGATAAAAAAATAGCGCTTGGGATTGGTGTCTTTGCTTTATGTGATTTAACATTTCGGGATTATTTGTAGACAAAAAGCCCTCTGAGCTTGTTATTTTGGATAATCTGCATTGCTTGCATCCCCGATCGAGCGACTGCACCTCGTCGAGACGAGTAGCCTATAGTGCGCGACATCTGGCCTAGAACTTATCATTTCATGTTTTTACGCCCATTCGTTTGCAAATTAGCCGATATAAAATAGAGATTTTAGCACAACTGGACACGGGTCCATTAATGTTTTGCTACTGAGGTCACAGCTGGCGATACATTGCGATGCTTATCATCCAACACCAATGATGCTGCGGCATGAGAGCAGCCTAGAAGGGTGATGGACAATGTCCCCGCCAGCAGATACAAGACACCGGCGCTCCTGGTCTTGAATGCAGCGGAGAGAGACACCTAACTGGGTGTCACCGTCAGCGCTGGATGCTGCGCCGAAGAATGGGATACTCCGACCCATCGTCGGGTAAAGATATACTTGGCAATAGATCTCTGTGTTTTATTTTTATTTGCGCATTTGGACTCGTCACACTATTGCAACAGATTCTCTATGGAAAAAACTACATTAAAAGGTAAGTGTCGGTTATTTCTGTCTGGCCTTCATTAACAAAAGGCAATTAGAGCGCAGGCCTTGCTGTTTATGGCAGAGTTGTAGGCTACACACTGTAAGGATAACCTTCAGCCTTAAAAAGCATGCCTTCATTGCCGTTTTGTGTAAGGCTTATTGCTCAGGTTTAATTCCAATTATTGACTGAATGGTGGAATATAGATTGTGAATGGTATATTGATAAACTGTTCAGTATAAATGGAAATAGTTTGGATGAGCTACATGTCGGGACGCATGGGGAAAACAAGCTTTAATGGCTGGAAAGAACAATAGCAATTAACCATCCATCTTTCTTTAACCAGTGGCATAGAAACAATTTCCATTGGATTTATTTTTGTGATATTTTCTGAAAATGAAGCATCACATTCATACCATACACAGTGCTCCAGCTGTGTATGGTAATGTTTTCCCTTTCTTTTTTCCCCAAAGATCTTTATTTGATTTTCCGTTTCAGCCTTCCTGACTGGTCCTAGCCTACATCTTACAGAGGCATCAGATTATCATAATGCAACTGAAAGCTATTGGAGCTGATGATGATTACAGATATCAACATGATAAAGATGATGTGTATTTCTTGTTGGTCCCTGTTAAATAAATCATTACCAGGCTGCACTTGGTGCACTCACAGCCACTGCAGAGCCATGTTTTATAATACCTCTGCAACAGTATTTATGTCTTCTTGAGCTCAACCCTGGTTGGAAGTCTACTGGTGCACTCATCTAAACCCATTTAAAGACCTGTTTGCTTTATATTCGGAGACAAATTTCAGTGTGAGACGAGCAGATGCTGAGAAGCCGGGATGTTTGATCTTTATAGGTGGTTTAAAGAATCTCACAAAGAACACCAAATCTCACCCCAAGCATAAGGAACAATCTGAAAACTTTATCCCCACCTCCAGATATTGCACAGACAGCACATATACAGTATGTTTACTTCAAAGCAAACGTATATGTGCTGCAATCTGAAAGCTCCCCACATATAACCCCTCCCCTGCCACCCTGTTGGGCTGGTCTGACAATACTCAACATGGATTCATGGCATCCCGACCTCTGTGGTGAGATGCATGAATCCAGACCAGACACACGCACCTTTCTTCGCCTGTGTCCTTACCATGCTCCTAGCGCTCAGCCTAGGAGAGAGGGGGGAACAAGCCGCACAACAGAAACCAGTGGGCTCAGCGGCCATTTTGCTACAGTCTGTCTGCACACACACACAGAACAAGTGGGGGAGAGAAAGGAAGGAAATGGGGAGAGTGAGAGACTGAGAGGGTGTGATGAAATGACTGTTTTCGTGTGTATGTTTGTGTGTGTATGTGTGCAGAGAGAGAGAGGGACGAGAGAGAAGACGTCATCTTATGATGTCTCTCCGAGGATAAATGACCAGAAGTCGTTGTCCACATGGGTTCTGCCGCACCCAGCCTCTTCTAAATCCAAGCATAAGAACATCCTGGAAGAGTGTTTATCATGCACTCTGGTTTTTCAGGGCATCACAGAAAAAAAACAACCAAAAATTTAAGCTAGAACATCAGCAGAAGAGTCTTTTAGGTGCTTAGATTGTGTAGGGAGTAACAATTTAGATGTATCATCAATCTTAGACCAGCTCGCTTTGTGCATACATCCATCCCAGATGACCAAAGGGCAAAGGGCTCTGATCTAAATGTATGGGAACCCACATTAAAGTCAAACAAAGTCACAAACATTGTTGTACTTGATTAATCTGGCCATTGAATTTCAATAGATTCACATTAGGGTGTCACATGAATCAGCTCTCTGCCTGCCTTCACTCACATGAGAATGAAGCTGTTGTGGAAGATGTAGGACTGTAAAATGGCAGTGCAGGATTGAAGTGGGAAGCTTATTAAATGAGTGAGTGACACACTTCCGTAAAAGGAAGACAAGTTAACTTTCAACTCTATTTGACTTGAAGAAGGTGATATCTAAAAATATTCTCAGCAAGAAAGAGTAGAAGCAAAGGCCCCGAGCTGGAGTGGATTGGTAACCATCCAAAAATGAGCGGCTTTGGAACTGTGTATTTGGCTACAACTAATGATAATCTTCATCGTCAGTTAATCTGTCAATATTGTTTATCTATAAAACATCAGAAAAAGAAATGCAGAATAAATGAACAAAGAAAAGCTGATTTTTTGGCATTCTTGGTAAATGACATAAACAATTATGTCAAAATTGTTGGCTACTGGTTGATAACAACAAACAAACCACTTCAGCACTTTTGTACACGTGAATGTGTTTATGAGCCGTTCTCGGTGCATCATGTATTTCGGTTGTATCGCCCTGATTCTTTTTTAGTTTCAACATGCGGTTGACCAGGCTGCACGTGGATTCTAGCACAGAGCAGGACATGAGACCGCAGTTCATAATGTACTTTCAACATTTACAGGAAACAAGAAAGAGATCGAGAGGAGATTAAATCTTTTTTTTTTTCATTAATGACAGCATTCATTTTCCTGTTTTGATAAAGACAGTGAAGTACCTATCATTCGTGGAGCCTTTAGTCGATATAGGAAATACCCCTGGAATTACTAAATGGACATCTGAGTCAATGTGCCTGGTCCTCACTAAAAACCAAAGCCACATTAAACCAATTATATAAAAGTCCCTCCTGCTTCTAAATCCCATTAACAGTGCTCAAGGGCAGAATTAGAGCACATTAGCGCTGCAGAGCAACTTCTTGCTTGTTGTTTGCTTAGATTACTGTCTGAGTTGTGCTCATAATTGAGCCATTTGGAGATAATTGATATTGAAGACACTGGATTGATCTGTTTGTCAGAAGTAGTCACATGAGATCGAATAGGGTAGCCACAATGTTGGAAAATATCAGTAATGTATAATCTTTTATATATATATCTATTATATAACCCACAGCATTTTAGATTGTGTTTTGGTGATGATTAATGTTATAAGAGACTAAATGATGCTTTTTTGATTAGCTTTTCTGTATAACAGACAGCTGTCCTCTTTCAGGCACACATTCTAAACTGGGACGACAAACATCTCTCTGATTTTAGTGTGTTCTGTTCTGCAACTGATTGCGAAGTGCTATTGAGATGCTGAAGTGGGACTCAGAGAAGTCAAATGTGCCTGCAGATATGTATTGACACAAGTCCCCGATGATGAATGCACATAATGCACCCAGAAAGGCTCTTTGTGTTCAGTTTCCCTGCTGAATTTAGCACAACACCCACAGAGCACTCACAGAAATGAGTCACACATGAATACTTGCATAATAATAAGTCAGTAATAGAAGAAGTTGTACACCCACTGATATTTGGATGTATGGGATGTAAGTAGTCTGTTCACAAATCAAGATGTAACACACTACCCTTAACATGTTTAGCAGATACATCTGGTGATATTCTATGTATTTCTTATATATCACATGAAAAGACCAAAACCAAAAATGAAATGATCCCAGGTGTGTCCAAAGCCTGATATAGCTTACTCCTATGTTCCATAGACTTCCATTGTTGTTCAGAGAATAAGTAAAAATACATAAATGACCCACACCGTTTTACCGGGTAACATTTTCCTTCATTGCAATGATGTTTATGAGAGCCCCACTTACACCATCCTGACACTATAAATACCAGCCAACGCACAAAATCTGTGGCTGAAAATAGTCCCAACATATACACAAATTTCTCCTGTTTGAGTAAAGTTTACTGTAAACTGCTGCGGTGTCCAGCTGTTAATTGCTGGGCCTTTTTAGTATTTAAGTATTTGCTCAGTGGACTAATAGACTTGGGGCCACAGACTAGAGGTTTGCTTTATATGGGATTTGTAGACAATAACAAAAGTGTAGAATATCACCAGTAAGTGTAACACCCCCCCCACCCCCACCCCTCTATCCCCAAAATGACTCTTTGTAGATTACTGTAAGCCGGCTTTGAGCATTCTGATGCCCCTCATCTCTCTAAAATGAGTTGGTTCATTCAGAATGCACAACATGATGTGAGGGCTATTAACCACCTGTACCTATTTTCTCATACTGGACAAAGGTCACCGAGAGCCACAGAAAAACTGTTTCCACAGGCTGAGTAGTACTGAACATGACTAGTAAAATCCCCTTTAACAGTAATATCTGGCTGAAAACATGGTCTGCTATTTTATCCTATCTACACTCAGCAAATCTGTTGGCATCTCTTCCTAATTTGACATTCGCAGCAACACTGGCAACGATTACTGTTCCTCCCTTAAGTCGCTGTGACTTTAATATATTGAACTACAAGTCTAACACTCCTGCAGGCCAATATTGCAGAGTGTGAATGTTTGAATCACACCGAGGATAGTGGCAACGGCCCAGCAGAGCATAAATTAACCATTCAAACCATGATGTCATCAACCAAAAATTCATTCTAACCATGTTTGGTGTCATACGTTGGCTGTTTTTCTTGAGCCAAAAAGCTGGTCCCCTTTAATGCATATTTGTATGTGTGCGTGAATGTGCAAATTCGAGTTTTGTGAGTGAACACATGGGCTTGGTTGTATGTGTGTTTGACATTTGCACAATGAGGACAACAAATCCCAAATAAACTGACTCATTTTCTTACTAGTGCGCAACAGTTTAGCCGACTCAAAGGGGACGAGACAGGAAATTGGACCGGTCCCGTTAATTTCTCGGATGATGGATCTCTGAAGCCTGCCAGAAATGGAAGGAAAAGGTACCTTTCCAGCGTGACTGAATGCACAACACCTCTGAGAAGAGAGAGTGTGAGGGAGAGAAAGATAGAGTGAGAGACAACATTCAGTTTCAAAGCCATCATAATGACGACCCAGCACTGCATGTGTGGACTGGGCCACTGATAACGCCCACCAGTCTTCTCAGATGCTATAGTGAGAACACGAGCTGCACATATTTACACTTTCTTTGCTCTATTGTTTTTAAATCTGAAGATTTAGGAAGTCAGCAGGGGTGGTGGTGACAGGGCTACATCATACATTTAACTCTAACTTAAACTGTCTGCATGTTGACAGATGTTTCCGTCAGAATTTTCAGCCAGATTCACAGATCTCCGTAATAGTCACACCCTGCCTAGCCGATATTAAGAAGAAAAAAAAACGCTCTCAAAGGTAGGCCAGTTTGAAGGCATTTTTAAGTATTTTCACAGAAACGCAAGAATGCCTCTTTCTTTTTCATTAGTTTGAAAGGTATAAACTCTCATATTTTTTCAGTGGTGGTTGCACTTTGCATGTTGTCTGATCCCGTTCACCTCGACCCCAGATCCCCAAACCCCATTCCCCCTTCCGAAGCTGGTAGAACCACCGTCTCCTGTTGATGTACTGGCTTCTCCTCGTACCTCTATGTCCCATCAAGCACTCATTTCCAAATGCCTTGTCCTCCTCAATCTGTGTCTCATGTGTTCTGCACAGCTCTGTGTGTATGCCATGTACATAGTAGGGACACTTCTCTCTGCTCCCCCTATCTCCCCTTCTCACATCTGCATTGTCTCTCTCTGCGACCTGGATTTACCCCCTTTTCCACTTTCCTTTCCTTATTACAATAAGACAGAAACCTTTCCCAAAGCTCCAAATCTGCATTGCACTGTGCAGTAGATGTCTTTATCTGTGGTAAAATGCTTCTTCTAAAACATTTCTCATTCTCAATTGGTTTTGAACCAGAATTATATGGTTAACCTAAGATGCCATAGGAGATGAAGTTCATCACATCTCAAGTGAATTACTGTCTTGCTTTTAGAACTAAACAGAGAACACTTGCAAAGGTTTCATCATCTTAGCTAAAGCAAGCATGGATAGCCCTGTTCAATGTGTCAAATAGATGATGATAAAACAGATGCTCCTCTCAGTAAACCCTCAGAAATACACTGCATCATCAGGTGGATGTAGACAACCAGTTTCATTGTTCCTTATTTCTACGATTTCATCCAAGCATCTTGTTCCTTTTATACATACCTCAATTGTATTGCTCATTCTGTTCATTTATTATTATCATTATTATTTTTTAACTCGCCTCATTTACCTCCACAGCCTAAGGTAATATTTTGCAATATTATCCATCTTCCAAAACACCACACTACATCCGATCTATCTAATGTGGCAACAAACAACATTCATTCTAATAAATACACATTGGGTTTGCTGCCATCTTGGAATTAAATCCCCTCACATTCCCTCAAGCATTACATAATGGGCAATACATACATTTGAAAAACATTTTATGACATACATTCAGATGTAGCACACGCCAGAAGGGGTATATTTTGAAAAATTATTACTGTGTATGTTAGATATTGCTGAATTTAATAAAAGTAAAATAGAAAAGTAAGATTTGCTGTATGGATCAATCTATTTATTTATATAAACAGGTTTATTTAAATGCAACCAGAGAGAGATGTTCTGTGGTCCTCTGCCCAAAGCAAAAAGGAAAATTATAGATTAAGGCTAAAGAGAGAAAATGCCTGTGGGTGAGACTAATAGAATAATTTGAATCCGAAAGAATAATTTGGTATATGATCATTTCTCACATTTTTAGTGTGTATTTATTGCTACAGTCCTGTGTAGGCACAGCATACTGACAAAATGTTGGGTTTGCATGGAAATAGAAAATGTTTTAAAGTTTTTAAATTTTTAAGCACTTAATTTAGTCATTAGTCAAATGGAATTACAAAACCAAAATACCATCATATTGTTCTGAATATATGTAATAATGTGAAAAATTACTATTAGGCATGCAGAGAAAAAGAGGCTTCTTCCAATCTTTGCATTTGAGTCCCCTGCCTCAGATCTTAATTTCTCAAAATATTTTCTATTTTGTGTTGTGATAATGTATTGCTTTCACTAGCAAGTAGCACCTTTTTGTGGTAATTTTAATGTAGACACTTGAGTTCAATTTCCCTCCAAGTAAGCACTTGGGTTAAGGCAACTGGCAATACAAAACGGTAAAGAAATAAATGTAACAGTTTGATCTGTTTTCAGAATCTGGAAAATCAAGTAACCTTTTGGTCTGTAGCCTCCAATAAGAAAAATATATTGAATTTAAACTTAATTCCACAATACTAAAAAAGACTAACTTTTGCTGAACAGTGGCCACGGTGGCCACAAGTGGTAATTACAAGGCAATGGTACATCGAATTTGCCTTTATTTTTCCAACATTTTCTTGGGTCAGCTGCTTTTAAAGACACCATCATGTTTATCTGTGATATGCTAAAATATAGCGTAACAGATGCACAATAACAAAGAGAGTCAAAGTCAGCGGACATACTCATTAACATCAATTAGATAGCATATTTCTAAAGTTTGCTAACATTAGCTAAAAAAAGCTGGCAATACCAGACCAAGTAAAACTGTGGCAGCAAAACTCCTGATTGTAATGAAATGAGCCATTGTGTTTTGTTGCTCATGAATTCAACTTTCAATTACAAGAAGAATGTGTTATTTCTTCTTTCAAAAGTCACAAAGTCTCACTTTAACATACATTACTCTGAAAAGCAGAAAGCAACTCCAAATTTCAGAGCTTACATTTTAAAAATCTAACCTATCAAACTGCATCAGCATCATCATTTTATCCAGACTGCATGCTGATTGCATGTAAATACAATGTTGTGCTGCAAGAAATGAGGCATCAGTGCACAGATAAATTGTAACATATTAGCACCTTGATATAAATTGATGTCTGAATCCTTTCAACTTTCTTTGCAGAACCATTTTGTCACACCACCCTACTGAAGACATTATTCTTGTTTGCTTTTGGTTAATGTTGCCATTTTGATATAGTGATTGTTTGAGTTTCTCCGATTATTTAGCTCCAGTTTAAATAAATATTAAATATTAAATTTTAAAACGTTTATTGGTTATAGCCTCTATGATTACCTGTTTACATGAACATCTGTGCATGTGTTTATGCTCACAGTGTATGAAAACATCAAGAAATGAGCCGCTGATGAGTCAAAATTCTGAGTTATTGCTGCCTGCACAATGGACATACAGTATTACCTTTATGCAGATAATGACTTAAAAGGATAGATGTACACAGACACTCTCAACCAACAGACACTAAACTGCTAACGCTATCTAATCCACCCTTTTAACAAGCTATGCACTGGCTGGTATCAACCCCTTTCCCCTTTCAGACTGTTTTCGGTTTCTCTTCTAAATTAATATACAACATACATACACATTTTTATCCCAGACAAACAGTTTTAAACCATGCAAGTTCTCATCATAACCAATTTGATAAGTGAAAATATGAGAGGTATTATTTTTCTTTGGTTAGTGTAACACATTGGTTTAGACTAAGATGTAACAGAATCTGGTGCAAGTGTCCAGTAAACAGTATGATACTATCCTGTTTCTGACGCCGAAAATCAGTTTCATCACTTCTGTCATTTGTCATCCCACAATGCTATACTGATATTTTAGTATTTCATTAAGTCAAACCATAGACATTTTGTAGTAAATATAAGATGTTTTTGCACACTGTTATAATGCTGTTATATTGCATTTTATCTCTAGTGTTTGTTGTTAATTCTGCTGATTCTCTTGTGTGTGAAGAGGCTTAGGCAGAGGATGACTGTGTTTATCCCTGCAGGTATCTGGAAAACTATGATGGCTCCTTTGAGTACAACTCCACAGCATGCAGGGAACTCAGACAGGAGATTATGGACGTCAAAGTCCTGACAATGTGAGTGTTCATTATGAGGTAGACAACCTTATTTGAAATAATATCTTTTCCCCCCCTGAGGTGATCGACAAGCAGTGAGAAAATTCACCACCTACTATGTTTTGCATGGATATACTTTAGTTCACAGGTTTCAGGTTTGAGGAAACAAATATGAACTGTCACTTTAATTCTAAAAAAGCAACCATTAATATTGTGTGTGGAACATTAAAAAGAATGATCGTGCTTAAACTTATGTTTAAACTTATTAACTTAAACATATTTTTGTTCATTTCGAGGCTGGAGGATTTTGAAGCGTCCAAAAAGGACTTAAAGAAAGAATATAGCAAGACTTGTCTGCATGCATGCTTTCGACTTTTTGAAGCTGTACTTAGGCACAGCATTGAATTGTGCTGAATGCTAACATCAGAATGCTAACGTACTAACAATAACAATACTATTAGCAATTAGCACAAAATACAAAGTAGGTATTTAGTGAAACAAAGTATTGGACAAATAAGTTTTAGTTCACCTTGAATGGCACTAAATGAAAAGTCCCCAACATTATCACCATTCATCCTGAGGGGAACAGGAATGGTTGTACCAATTTTTATGGCTATCCATCCAATAGTTGCTGAGACATTTTAGTCAAAATCACAAATTTCAACATCACAACAACATGCAAAATTTCATGGCAGTCCATCTAATAGTCTGGCCAAAGTGGTGGGCCAGCTGATTGACAGTATAATCCCTAAAGCCGCGCCACTAGCATGATTAAATATACACACAACAAGAGATAACAGAAGTGTCAAAAGAATGGCAGTATATTATTTATACTGTTCTTTATATTATTTTGTATACCTTTGAAACCCAGTTATTCAGTTTAGAATTTTAATAGTAAGCATGTTAGTTTTGAAATGTGTATAATAATTGCCCAAAAAGTGATGTGTTGCAGTTTAATATTTATGCAGAGCAAATATTCTGCTCATCATAATTTATTGTATTAATTTCTAGAGTCTGTCAGGTCTTGGCTTCGATACAAACATTTCCCATGACTATGATGCAGTCGTAGGAATTCTTTAATAAACATAAGTGACAGTCACTGTATATTTATGTTTTTAGTAATGTGCTTTGTTATGTGCATTGAATGTACCTTTGAGAAAAACCCAGACAAATTTTCACTGAGAAGGACAAAAAAGTCAATCTAATCTAATCCAAAAAGAAAAAGATGAATCAGTTCAGATGAACAGAGATTCATAGAGAATGAAGTTGGTTACCATTAATTTATCTGACGGCTCTTGAGCACTGATTAGTTCACTCTGTTCTTTTTAAAAATCAATAAGGGATCAAGTGGCAGAGAGTCTGTGATTATCTAATTAACAGCAGGTTGTCTACTGCAAATATGCAAAAACTGAAGTAAAACTGAGAGAACAATACTTAAATCTTTCCACATTATTTCTCACACTATAGTTTACATAACGTTTAGCATAATGATTATTGGCCAAATTCAGGGCACTCCTCAACAATCAAGTTATGCAAACAGAAATCATTTCCTCTTGTATGAATGTGAACATTTTCCAATGACCTTTTCTGCGTGTCCCTAAGGCTGCCAATCTTTAATGTCGAACACATTCTTGGACCTTGATGAAGGGCCATGAGCCGCTCACTGGCTGAGGCAGAGAACAGCTACTGTCACTCTGCCAGACAGTCAGAGTAATTGTGCCACCCTGCCTCCCAGAGCAAATCACATCTCCCAATCATCTCAAAGGAAATGCCAGTTCAAGGAATGCTATTTACAGACATGCTCATTGAAGCCACTGTCTTTGTATTAACACGCCTAGATCCAGTGGCATCAGTAAAGCCATCCCTGCAATTGTCTGTCCCCTTGTTTGTCTTTTTGAGTTGTTTTTATGACGTTTCTTCAATTTACTACCCTTGTAGAAACTTGGGTAATCGGAAAATACATGGCCATGGGTATCCTTCCTCATTCCACAAGTCTCTCTGCCTGTCTGCCAGGGTGAAAACCTCAGACCTGTTTGAGAGATGGCGAAACCTGCAGGTGTGTAGATGGGAGCAGAACAAGGAGGAGACAAGCAACTTCAAGTAAGCATTGCTCAGTCTCAGCAGAAGAAATGTACATCTGAATGTTTGGATTTCTTAAATCTCATACAGTATGCACACTGCACATACCTCTTTTTTTTCATTCATTTAAAAATGTTCTTTTACAAGAACTGTTAAAAAAATGAGATTTTGAACTAATGATATATTTCAGAAGTCTGCCACAGAATATTACACAGACTCCGACTGTAAAACATGTAATTGGTGTTGACTTTTTGAATAGGACTGCCCCACCACAAGTCTATTTTGATTTTTGTTAATTGAGTTTTATAACAGTTTTTTCTAAGGGGTCAAACAGGGAGTTAGACTCTTGCAGGGGCTTATTGACCCCAAATAGAAGTAATGTCACTATGTAGGGTAACATACTCTACATTTCTTCATCTGTAAATTAGTTTTTGGCAAACAAAATAATATATATATTTCTTAATGCATAGCCCTATACCATATTAAACATAAAATTATTTAGTTATAATAATGCTTTATGGAAATTTCTGCATTTTGTCACCTTCAAATGTAAAAGCCCAGTTTGCAGCAAAGCCAATACTTTGCTACTTAACATACCGGGTTTTAATAAGATCAGAAGAAAAGAGAAAAATATATTAAAAGCAAAAACTGGTATATTTTTTAAAAATAAAGTCAGCACAAATAAAACTCTCACAAATGAACTAACTCCATCCTTTCCTTGGTGTCCTCCTAAAGGATGTCTCTGTCTCGCTGCTGTAATGCTCCTTCCTTTCTGTTCACCACCAAGAGGAACACTCCCGCAGGGACCAAACTGAGGTATGAAGTTGACACCAGTGGTATTCTTCCCATTGCAAATGAGGTCTTCAAGATGTTCCCAGATGTGAGTTCATCATCTGTTTATGAGTGTTTATGTTGCTAAATGAATCTGCCATTCATTTGATGCTACTAAACCTGGTGATAGAATTTATTTGCTTCAAGAGCCCTCTGTGCTGTCTGACATTAACAACACGTGTCTGTTTCATCTAGGATATGCCGTATTCCAAATCACAGTACAAGAAATGTGCTGTTATTGGAAATGGCGGCATCATCAAGAACAGCAAATGTGGAAAGGAAATTGACTCAGCAGATTTTGTGTTTAGGTATACAGGATATAATCTTTCAGTGTTTGTTGCATGACGGCTGCACAATTCTAGTTACAATCTTTTGTTCTATTGCACTTAACATAACATAATCCTCAGTTTCACATTGTAATTACGAATCTAAGTAACAATGAAAACAGAGCATGCAATCACAAAAAAAGACTTGGATAGAAAATTGTGTAGGATTACACTCTTGTCTGATTTGCACCAGATGAGCCAAGTATGAGCTTTCACACAGTACATATGTATCATATATAATTTTAAAACAATTTTTGATTAAAAAAGGAATCCTGTAAAAGAATGTCTAATGTGCACTACATGATATCGTGCTGAAAGTCTGAGGCTAAAACAACATTTCCCAAGCAAAAAGCGGATGAGAAAACATAGAAATAAAGAAACAACATTGTTCTTTTATTGCATTGTAGCGCTAGTTATAGTCCTTATACTATAGTATTACAAGTATGATAAGGACAAGTGCAAGATTAGACTTGTATTTCATTCTAACTAACTCTGTTTATCAGCTTAGCTTACATACAAGCAAGACATAAGTTAGATTTATCCTTTATTGTTCGTATTTGAAACTGATGTTTCACTTTTAATATAGCAAGAGAAAAGGCTTTTAAGATGAGGACTAATCGGTGTGTTTGGTGAACGTAACACTATCTTGGATAATGAGTTTGGCTGGAGTTGTTGGAGAGCAAACTTCCCTAAATAAAGCATGAAAGAGCTGCTAACAATACCCTACATTTGAATATAGTAGCATCCAGGACCAGCTTGGACACAGTACGGAAATACTAGGTGTGCTGTTGTTTTTTTAATGTAACCTGTAACTCCAAAAAATGAATAATGATGCTCCTTGGCCATAGAAGTAACACTGGGTTAGGTTTCTACAGTTAGCTCGTTAGCCAAACATGCTAACATCTGCAGCTTGCATTAGAGTGGACAAACTCACAGTCTTATCAATTCCTTCCACTAAAAGTTGTTGTATTTTTCGGTTTGGGAAAGGATAAATAAGACACGACCCTCCAAGCTCTTTATATGGACTATTGCACCACAACAGCTTCATGCAAACTGCTTCAGCATGTGGGGAAGACCAAAGCTTGACAAAGCCTAGTTAAGGTTTCTAAGCTATGATTTGAGGGGTTAAGCAAAAAGTTTGATTTATTGTAGAAGCCCCACTCCTGATCACAATTATTGTATGATTAATTGTGCAGCTCCACATTATGTGTCATCAGCATGACTAGTTTGAAATGTGTCAAGTCAAATCAAAGACATTTTAATTCCTTTATCAGTGGACTTTTCTTTCTTGCAGGTGCAACATACCACCTATTAATGAGAAGTACACAGCCGATGTTGGCAGTAAAACAGATCTGGTGACAATAAATCCGAGCATTATTACTGAGAGGTACTGTAAATAGGGGTCTGAGCAGGAGATCACTTCTGTCTCTCTATCTCCCATCTGTGTCTCCTTCTCCTTTGTCTTTCGTCATCTCATTTTTCATTTCCCCTGCAGATTTCAGAAGCTGGAGAAATGGCGGCGTCCGTTTTACGAAGTTCTCCAGAATTACGAGAACTCCTCAGTGGTGCTTCCTGCCTTCTACAACACCCGCAACACCGATGTATCGTTCAGAGTTAAGTACATGCTGGATGACTTCGACTCCCAGAGAGGCGTGTTCTTCTTCCACCCGCAGTACCTGCTCAACGTGCAGCGTTTCTGGGCGGTGCAGGGGGTCCGGGCCAAACGGCTCAGCAGTGGCCTGATGCTCGTAACTGCCGCCTTGGAAATGTGCGAGGAAGTCCACCTCTACGGTTTCTGGGCGTTTCCCATGAACCCCTCTGGCATCTTCATCACTCACCATTACTATGACAACGTAAAGCCACGGCCAGGCTTCCACGCGATGCCCCATGAAATTTTCAACTTCATTCACATGCACACTCGTGGGATCATCAACGTACACACAGGGCAGTGCACGTGATCCCTCACTCCAACATTTAACATTTTACTATTTAGTTTGTTTACTTTAAATCAGGTTTCTCTAATGTGTTTTATTTCGGTCAATGGGACATTTCACTATTTCCTTCCTGTTTAAAAAGGGGGTTCAGAGCGTATACTTCTTTGCTGTCACCAATTCAACAACATGTTGAAAGTTGCTTGCTTTCATCGGCAACATATTTCTCTTTTTGATGTGTATCTTAAGTTGTTTATTTAGCCAATCAAATCACTATGGTTGTCTCTGAGTCTCTCACCATAGGTGCTTGTTTATAATGTGAAAAGTGTTCTTCATAGTGATGTTGTTTCTGTGAAGTTTTCTAGTGGCTCTGCTGTAAAGAGGTGTTGTTTTCTACTCAACGTTGCACAGATATTTACGCTGAAATGGGCAGCAGTGGGTGTCTTTCTGCCCCCTCATTCCCCCCTCTCTACTCTCTGTATGTCGGACACTCTGCTGATGTGGCAGCTTTTAATGTTTGTGTAAAACAAAACCTGCACCTTGATTTCAAGCTAATATTTCAAAAAGAAGAAAAAAAAGAAAATTTTAAATGTCCAATTGTCTACTTTTGTAATCTGTTTCCTATTCACCTAGAGTCACTGGGTGGATATTTTAAAACACTATTTTTCAACAGTGTTCACGGTTTTCAGTGGCCTCCCTTCTCCCATTTAAAAATGTCCTCCGATATTTCTGGTGAAAAAAGGGTGTATAAGAAAAGATGTGAAGAGGTGTGTTTTGGCAAAAGCCAGATAAATATTTTGCAATGACACCGCCTCAGCAAATCTTTGACATTTTCAAAGCCGTCCAATTTGTAAAGCAACATAGCACTGAGCAACCCAGCCTCTAGCTGTCATTCATGTCTTAAGCCATGCTGCCTTATGAGATATCAAACCCCTCTATATGATATGCAATGCACCCATGTGTTTTGCTTATCTACAAATACATTACCATAAAACTAAATCTTAGTTTGTCTCCTTGAATCGAAGGACATTTAAGACCGTCTGAGGTATAGAAATTCATGTGCAGTTCTCATCTTATATTCTATTGGAATTAGCTAAGTCTTACTCCCTGTAAACTCCATTCATAATCATGTAATGCTCTGCATGACTTTACTCTGTACTTGGCTTTGTGTGTGCCTGCTTCAATGATCACTGAAATATGTTTACACTCTGCTGAAGCTCACCGTGCTTTTGGAGAAATACACAAACCTTTTCACAGAAAGTTGAACGAAGTCATTGAAGTGAACTGTATAACAGTGGATGCAGTTCTCGTTGATTAAAGATACAAGAATATGGTTGCAGCCCTTTTGCGAAGTGCTACAACACTTTATTTACTGTATTATTTTGCCTTCTTCTTTGAACTGTGAACATTCAGTCTACATTTAAGCACTAGAATGCTAGTTTTTTTTAACTGTTATTTTCTTGTACACTGCAAAAAGGTTTAAACAGACTGTAATTTAATCTTTTGGCACTTCTCTGTTCATGCTCGGCTGTCCATTACAATTGAAGGACATCGTTGGCAATAAGATTTAAACAGGTTTCTTTCAACATTTATTCAGACTCTTTGTGTGTTTATGCACAAGAGTAATGAGTTCAGCAAATTTGACCACCAATAACGTTTGGCTTGACCGCTAAATTGTTGTACAGACACAAGTGAATCAAGAATGGAAAAGGAAGGAACTGGTCCGTGTACTGAATGGAGGTAATATATGACACAGTGCTTCTTAACTTACTCTGGATCATTCTTTATACTGGTATTGTGTTTGTAAATAAACTTGTTTGGATTTTCTCACTTGTATTTAATGGATTAATTATTATTGTTTGTGTCCATTAGTGTGAGTGGGTATAGGAGCTTATTCATAAATGTATTAAAATAATACATTTGCCACAAATAAAAACAGACATTAATATGCAGCCTGATTTAGGTCCTGTCCTATAAATGTCCTGTGTTTGTGCTGACCACCACATACTGTGCTTGTTGAGGGTGAAACAATATGCTAATTAAAATGTCTCATTTCAGACCAGTTTACCTCTGGTTTGTGCTCCAATTAAGTCATCAGGCAAAGCTACTGTCAACTTCTCAATTATTAAGCAGTGGCCGGTGTCAATGTCCTCTCCCTGACTGACTCAGCCAAGAATGACTTGGGATATGGCAGATCATATCTGAGTTGTGCTAGGCTATCTGTTGAGGTGTTCGAGTTTCGGCAAGCACAAGGTGAATCAATCCAGTAAAAAATTAACAAATTAAGTTTAATGATGATAGCTGGTTTAAGATTTAAGAGGGACTTTAGATAGATTTAAGATAGTTATTCCCAATGTCACAGGCAAACTTATACCCCAGGAGACACTAAAAGATTGTTGATTGTTGTTACTTGCATAATCTGAAAAATTTGAAATTGATTGATTAAAAATATGTTGAAATGACAATTAGCAAGTGAGCAAGCAGAGAAGTTCAATAATGTTAGCTAAAAGATAAAAGATTGAATAGTTAAAATAATGGATAAATGGTTGAATTATTTAGTAAAAGTAATGATAAACAGTTGAAATGGTGAAAGTTAACTGTAGTGAAACATAAAGTAATGGATAAACAGATAATCTTAGCTAAAACTGTTAGAAAAGTTAGCTAAATGTTAACATTAGCTAAAAATAATGGATGAACAATAATTATTGTATTTAAAAGTAATGGATTAACTGTTGAAACAGATAGCTACAAGTAATAGTTAAACAGCAAAAAGTAATGGAGAAAGTGTAAATAGTAAGCTTAAAGTAACAGATAAACAGTTTGTAAAAGTAATGGATAAACAGTTAAAATTACTTTACCCACAGATGATTTATGAAGTATAATGTCTGATCCCATTATAAAATCTTATTACATGAATATCATGTGATTAGTTAGTTTTGTCAGGGGATTGATTCCTCAGTGTACTGGGTCAAATGAGGTTTGACTATTTGCTGTCATCCATGGGTTAGGTAATTTGATGTTGAAAGATCAATATGACCAAACTTTGCCCTTCCCCTTGATGCCTAAATTATCAGGTGTCAGATGGCAGCAATCCCATTAGCAAAGGCTAATGGGATTGCTGGGATGATTTGGCTCAGTCAGGTGCAGATGTGTACACCAGCGTGATGGAACTGCAACAAAAATGTCCATAGAGGAATTTGTGTTATCTTGTGAAACACAGGCCACACAATTATTCTAAAGTCTTTCTAAAACTGTGCTGGGTTAACAACTCAACATTGTTAGTTTTTTCCTTGTATTTCTCAACACTTTGTAAAGCAATACGGCAAATAAATTTCCCAAAAAAATGGGGGAGGACAATTTCTTAAATATTTTTAATTGGCACATTTATTGTTGTAAAATGTCTTGAAAATGTGTTAAAATGTCTTGAAAATCTAAATCATATATTAATCTTCTGATTCATACTGATTGCTTACTTCAGTAAACAATTTTAAGCAATGCATGTATTACTGAACTATGATTTCAGATTAATTTTGTCTCAGCATATCTAGTTAGTAGCAATCTCCTCATCTAACTCGGCAAGAAAGCAAACAAGCTTATGTTCCAAAATGTTGGACTAAGTGGACGTTGAAATTGGCTGAAAGCTGCCAAGAAATAAATCATTGCTACATTGATATTTGGTCATTCATAGTAAATGTTGCGATATAGTCCATTTGTTGTCTGCCAGAAGTTTCTTTCACTTAGGACTGCTAAGGGTGATTTATAGCCTGCACATTGTTACACATTATATCAGTATAAACAAAGAGGAGTGGTTGTAAGGGAGAGGTTGTGAGTGTGTGTGTGTGTGTCTGTCTGTCTGTCTGTCTGTGTCTGTGTGACTGCAGGTAAAAGCGAGACGCCCCCGGCCCGTAAAGCGATCCTAACACCATGAATAATGGAGCGTGCCGTTGCAGAGAGGATAAGTTATCTGTGCAAGGCTCCTTTTTCACAGGGCTTTCTCCCATGGGTCACGTGAGTGATAAGGTGACAGTAATTTTTCATGAGTAGTGTGTGTTGGTTGTATGGCCATATATTGTCCAGATAGGGGATGTCCAGACAGCCATCGCTACCTCTGCTCCTCCAGAGTCTGTAGATCTGCAGCTGCATACACACTCAGGCTGCTCTGAACCCCATGACCCCAGAACCTCCCTGCAGCCAAGGGTCAAATGAATTGTTTTACACCATTAGAAACTCAAGGCAGCACTTACGACACTAAAGGCCAGGGAAGTGGATGAATAAAAGATGTCGTCGAAACAGAAAAAATCCACAGCTTCAGAGGAAACTGAAGAGGTTGATGACGAAGTGGAGGAAACAGAGCCAAAGTTAAAAGAGAGGAGCAATGGTTTCACCCGTGCGGACACCACAAAAGGAGAGAAGAGTCGAAAGAAACACAACAGCGCAGAGAGCACTGAGACTCAGGAGGCCCCAGAGAAAAAGAAGAAGAAAAAAGAGGGCGAAAAAGTAACACAGAAAAAGAAGATAAATAATCCAGATGATGATGAACCTGGTGCTGTGATTGAAAATGAGGCTGAGGAGGGTGAGCAGAACAATAATGACCCCACGACGAATTCCAGAAAGGAGAAATCAGAGAAGCTCAAAGAGGAAGTGACTAAGGCAGCAAAGGAGGAAAAGAAGAAAAAGAAGAAGAAATCCTCCGCAGAGACTCCAGAGGGAGAGGAGGAGATGGGATCCAAGGATAAAAAGTCAAAAGATGTCAAGAAGAAGAAGAAGAAGTCTCACAATGACGATGATGAGGAGCCCTTGATTGAAGAACAGGAAGAGGAGGAGGACTCAAAGAAAAAGAAAAAGAAGAAGGCAAAGAAGGGTTCAGCGGACAGTGACGAAGATAAAAAGAAAAAGGGCAAGAAATCCAAAAGTAAACAGGTGGACTATGCTGCGATCTACCAGAATGAGCTGCTGGACTACCACACAGACTCATCTGATGGATATGAGGATGAGTACTACAAAAAGAAAGGTAAGGGTTTGACATTGTAGAGCAGACAGAGAAGTCTCACCTGTTGTATTTTAGGTAAGTCGCAGTTACATTACATATATATGTACCTGTCCCAACTGGTCAAATCTTGAATACAGGTTTCCTCCAGGTCCTTTCAGCTCTGATCAGGAGCACCCTGGGAACCCCTCTGTGATTGCTCTTGGGTGAAAGCTCAGTTATGTTCCACATGAATGGAGCCAAACAGAAGCTCTGGAGCAGACAGGTGCTGGGTGCCGTCCCAGTCTCAGGGGCTGGGAGAAGCGCCGGGGCCAGAGGCAGGGCTGGGAGCCAGATCAGAGGTTTTGAAACCACTGTCCTACAAATCCTACAGGAGCCTGTGAAATATTAGTATTTTTTGTTTGGTTAGGGGGAAGGGTTGGTTTGCTGACTATTTTTTCCTGAGCTTCCAAACACATTTTGCAGTTGAAAGCCCTTGCAAAAGCCAGAGGAGCCAGTGAATTAAGATTATTCTATTGCACTACTGTTCCGAAGTTCAAGAGTGAATATCCAAGCTCAAATCATGTCTATAAACAAGGCTCTGTCTCCAAGAAATTACATTTATACTACTAATTTGCAACAGCAAATGTGTTTTGAGAGAAACACAATGCCACATGAATTACCTTCTATCAACTTAATGAGGAAACGTTTTAATAAACCTATCCACAAAGCCGCAAAATGTTCATTACAATACATTTACATTTAGGGCATTTAACAGACGCTTTTGTCCAAAGTAAGAGTAAGGCTGTCAATAGAACAAGTTTCAGGTTTCAAGCACTCATAACTGCTGGGTCAGCCACTGCTGGTAGACAGCAAATATAGCTAGGCTGAGATGCTACACAGTGTGAAAAGGAACTTCATACTGAACATATCTGCATTTATATGCTGTCAATTATTTTATTTGTTTTTCTGACAGTATCTTGCTCCTGCAATACAGTTTGCACTCATACCAACTAATGCATGGTATTGATTTTTATGGTTATGTAAAGGCACTCATTACAGTTAGTGAAAGATTGTGGTCTAATACTGAACGTGACTTGAAACATGAGACAGGGCATGTTGTTGTCTGTATTAACATTAAACTGAAACCACAATCTTTTCTAAATCTTAACTAAAGTGCTTTTGTTGCCTGAACCCTACCATGCTCTGGACTCAGAAACAAATAAGCAGTATATATATTTCTAGGAGACAGTGGAAAATGAACCACTCAGCTGTATTCAAAGGTGTTTTGAATGAGGAAATTGCACATAAACATCTGAACTTAAAGGCTTTTTATCTCCTTTCCTCCATCATGTTGACAGAGAGAGAGTGCTGAAAATTTGACATATCCCATCATTTTCACTGCCAGATAATTGCTACCATAAGGTACCTGATTGCAGGAAATGTACTTTTAGCTCCTGATCTTTGTGCAGATTATGAAAGGAGCAGTAAGTATCATTATGTAGCATCAATGATACATGCCTGTGTCCTTCTTATCTCACTGGCTTACTAAGGTCTCTGACACTCCAGGAAGTTTATCATGGCTCAGTTTTACCAGGCCACTGTCTATCTGATTATATCAGGTGTCTCTCTTTCTCTTTAATCTGGTTTTAATAGCTCTGCTCACTGTTAATTAGATATCCATGTCCCTATCGACTTTGGTCAAATTGCTCTTTATCAGGTCTCTGCCTCTCCATTCCTCCTCTCCTGGATGTTTTTACGTAATCAGTATGTGTCTTCTAGATCCCTGCTTCTTTTGCACGTCTCCTTCATTGAACCTCTACTCCCAGTTCCTATATGTATTCCTTGGTGGATTTTTTCTAATATTTACTCTTTCAGACTACCCTAACCTTACACAACATTCACCCTGGATACCCTACAGAGAACCAAGTCAGCCCCAGAGAGTGTCCCATACCTTCCAGTCTATCTTACATAACGCAGAGAGAGGAGTTTACATTTACGTACAGTAATACAGCAGCAGGACTATAGAATTACCACTGTACAAGCCAAGCTATTGAGTCACAGGCAACAGCCAATCGCTGACTAATCTCCTTCTGAAGATTTAATGTTGTCACTGTAACTCAAACACAGGGTGTTTCATAGGTGTGACTTTAAAAATACGCATTCTTTGCTTGTTGTGAATTGCAAATAATTTGATAAGTCAGCTTATTGGATTCATAGTGACAAATGTTGAGTGAAAAGTGACTCATATAAACTGTGCATCTTATTACAGACCAGAATGGAGGTTTTTAAGTAAGCAATAGCCACACGCATCATTTCACAAGAGTCTAACATGTGTGCTAACATGCTTACAATGATAATGCTAGCGTGCTGATGTTAAGCAAGTGTAAAGTCTACCATTTTCCCCCATCTTTTATTTGTTAGCTTGCTAACATTTGCAAATTAACATTAAACGCAAAGTACAGCTGAGGCTGATGGGAATGGCATTAATTTTGCAGGTACTGCAGGTAACCAAAGTCATGAAATTATAAAATAAACAAACTGAAATTTTGTCCTGATGGTGGTGCTTGATGACAAATCTAAATACCACCAAAGTTATTCCACTTCATCTTGAGGGGAACGTGAATGTCTGCACCAAATTTCATCACAGTCCATCCAGTAGTTGTTTCACCAAAAAACACAAATGTCATGGTGGCACAAGAGGAAAAGTCAGGTGTTTGCCAAAGTCATTGGGTTTAATCGTCTGGGCACCATTAATGTCGCTATCAAATGTCATGGCAATCCAGCCGGTAGTTGCTGAGACCAAAGTAGTCAAACATAGCCATCCCTGGAGTCATGTTGCTAGTGGCTACAAATGTAAACAGACAGTGACCTGTGTCCACTCTTCTCTTCCCCTCCTCCATTCAAACACTTCAAATGACACAAACTGAAGCAGATTTTACAGACTGCTGTTTACCTTCTCAGAATCAGAAACAGCTTTAATGCTAAGTAGTTTTTACATATAAAAGGAATTTGCTTTTTGCGTAGCAATAAACACAAACCTAAAGAAATATAAAAAAATGAATTTGAAAGTTAAATGGGAAATAAATCTGCTGGTGCTCACAAGTGCTTCTCTGGTATCACAGCAGAAAATAAAACAAAGCGCACCAAACACTGAGATAGCCACCCGTGGTGCCATCATTTGGGCGATAATCAACCCATCAACTCAGTGGCTTGGTTGGATAAAGAGACACATTTGTGAAATGTGAGAGAGGCTTGGCTGGTGCATCACACCAGACATGGATTCGCTGCAGATTCGCCGCATTGAATTCCCTGGCAACCGTGCATGGAAGGAAACATAATGCTCCCTAATGTTTATAGATTATTGGACACTGTCTCAAGATGCGACTTTGTGTTTGTCCTTTAATTTGTCCAGTTTTTACTTTTAAATGATGATGTCCTTGTTTGACCTCATAGAATTTATACACTATACATGCTCTCATTATTTCAGAATTGTGATGTTAATTACAAGGACAGAAACGCATTTTATTTTCTCCTTCTAATCTCCACTCTCCTCTCTCTTTCAGTGTATGAGGTGGTCACTATCACTGGTGATGTAAAGGGCGCTGGGACAGATGCTAATGTGTTTGTAACCCTTTTTGGAGACTTTGGCGTCACGCCCAAGGTTCACCTGGCAAGCAAGTGAGTTTAAAAAGGGTTTATGTTGATGTTGTTGAATTATAGGATATTTTGATAATAAGTTGTCTCTAAGACTTTAAATCAAGTCTCAATGATTCACTCTGCTCTGATTTGTTTGCCCTTATTATCTCAGGTGTAATGCTGTAGCTGAGTCAAATTGATTTAATTCTGTTTCATTTAATTAATTTAATCAGTAGGCTTTTCAATGTCAGCTGTTAACATTTGATTTTTTTTATTCCTCTCTGATCCTTCAGCACAGAAAAGAGGTATTTTCTAATATGTTAAAGGATGGTTATGATTCTGTCCTTGTGTTTGATTGTATTGTGCACATAACACTGTATAAGAGAGCATTCCTGCTCAACATTAACCCGGTGCCTGTAGAGACAATGAATGAAGACAAAATCAAATTGCACACCAAGGATCTCTTGGGCCTGTTTTTCAAAACCAAACTAGTCTGAACCTTAAAAATCCTTTAATGTCAGAGAAGCAGCGCATATTCATAACAAAGGTTGTGGTGCAGGAATCTCTCCTCTATACAGTCATGTAAATTCTCGGACACAGAATATCTGGAGTAAGGAGGAACTATGTGACATGGCCGGTCTTCTTTTCCATTCAGAGGCAAATGAAAGAAGACCACGATGTCATTTTAATGGATGATCAAGTGACGCTCATGGGATCTTAACAGCAGCAGGCTCCATTTATCTCTGCACACACTGATTGATAGATAGGGTTACCTGTGTAACGTATAGGATATACCAACTTATTGTGAGCTGGACCATGTCACCCACACCTTGTG